CATGACTAACCCATGTTCGTCTTAAAATGCTCAAGATCTGTCAGAACTGATTACTGATAAGAAAACTACGCACTACGGTCTTGAACATGCGCGCTCGCAAGTCATAACAGCCGCGATACCCGGCGTTGCAGTCTCCAGGCCGTGCGGCGTTGGCCTTGCGGCTATAACACTAATCGATGGCCAATGAGCGAACGAAAAAGATAACGCATCTTAAAGGCTATGGTTGGCGAACTAGGTCAACCGGCATGAATGTTTAATGTGGTACAAGAGTAAGCCAAATGCAACCTTAATCTGAAAAGTGGGGGAAGGGGGGGGGGAGTTAACATTCATGGTCTTCCACTTTGAAAAGTGTGTGGGGGGGGGGGGGCCCTTGGCCCTCCTGTTCCTACGCCAATGCATCCTTTGTCCGCCTAAGAACGCTCACTTTTCCAGAATGGATTGGTGAAAAAGTGCATAAAAAGTTTGAACATACCCACGCAACCTTAAGAGCAAGGACAGCGATGGTCTGGATTGCAGTTTCCGTAAAACCGAACGGCTTCGGCCACTGCAAGTGCCATCAGACGCCGGGCGCTGTGTTAGTCTGTCTTCTGGACAAATCAATGGTTACAGAGACACGAAAAATTGAGAATTCACCTCTGCTCTTCCAGTTCCATCACCAGATTCCGGCACCACTTCGCGGTGCTTTAAGGGCCCATCCAGTCTTATCATTAGTCTAAAAATCGCACACATTAAATATGCAGTCAGACTGCCTTGTAGATGCAAGATTTGATGTCTTGAGGCGTTCAAAGGTATCTCTTTCAAGGGCGTCATCATTTTTGTCCACCCGTTGGCCACAGCTCAGTATTAACTGTTAAACCAACGCTGCGCGGCCTACGGAGACTGCAACGCCTGGAGCCCAGGTTTTTACTAAGATTTGCGAGTACACATGCTCCGAATTATGTCACCTAACTTTTATTACTAATCGATTCAAGTTATTAAAGGCAATTATTTCTGAGCCGTTATCATTTTCGTTTGCCGGTGGACCATGGCGAAAAGTTAACCACTAAGCCAGAGCCAAAGCTGCGCTGCCTATGGAGACTGCAACGCCTGGTGTCGAGGTTTTTGTTGCTAAGATTTGCGAGCGCGCATGTTAAAAACCACGCTATATAAATCGTATCGCTAATCGATTCCGACGGAATTTTGAATATTTCCAGACAACCATGGCTCGACGATGTTAATACGCATGCTGACCACTCGATCCACAAACACAATTTTCACCCTCAAATTTAGATGAAACACATCGATCTACAATCTACCTTCGCGATGCCCTCGACGTCTGTGGAACACAGATAAAACATTATCAAAAACCTTCTGAATTCTATCGGTTTAGAAAGAGCCTACTAAGCCATTGAAAATTAAGGACACCGGTGATTTATTCCATACGGTCACTAAACGCCTGATTTCCGCAGTTCATTGACGTTAACACGCGCTCGGGTGGGGGAGTCAAACTGATTCCCCCCCGAAGGTTTTTCCAGAATGGGTTCCGAACGGCGCGGCGCAGCCGCTCCATGTTTTTATAGCTGTAAACAATTGAATAGCAGATCGTTTGGCATCAAACATTTAGATGAACCTTGTAAGGTCGCTAACCTATGGCAAGTCAAAGTCAGGCCATGGTTTCAGCAAAGTCATCTTCTAGGGAATCGCTCAATCTGATGCAGCAATGGAGTGTTAGACAAAGCCATATATCTCTGAGATGCTTTCTTAGGCAATACAAATATTTCATGAGCAAATAGCGTTGACCTAAGGTCAGGTATAAAGGTCAGACCAAGGTCAAAACCAACCTGTTTTATTACTCTAAGGCTTACCGTATGAAATAGTTTCTTGATCTCATTTCGAATTTGTTGATAGCAGGACCCGCATTATACATCGTCCATGGGGTCAGAATAGGTCGTTGATCTAAAATGACCTAGGTCAACATTCTGTTTTTAGAAACATTCTGTCTAGCGTAATCTTTCTCGCTTATTCAAGTGCAAAACTCACAGCAATCTTGTATGATTTTGGTCACCGTGACCTTCAAAAGGACAAACAAGGCTACTGACCTTAACTAAACGTGTGAAATTTTGCTAAGAAATAATTATCTAGGTTCTGGGAGCACTTAAGAGAATTTGCCTGGAACTTGACTTTGTTTGACCTTATTTGACCTGAAAATCATGACATAGGAACCTCAAGCTTTGACCTAAGTGAGTTCACGTACAAGTCCAACACACCCTGTGGATTTGGTGTCTCTAGCTCTTTTAGCTCCCGAGATCTCAGGGGGTCAAGTTGATCCCCAACCCGAGCGAAGGGTATCTAGCCGACCACCCGGGCGCGTGATAAAAATGTGGACAGAATCGACTTCACAGTAGCTCCTGATTTCTGTTTTGGTTGCAACGTAAAAAAAACGATGAAACGGAGAAAACCGTATCCCTTGTTAACAAGTAAACTATACCTGGGGACATTTTTGTGGGGGGGGGGGGGGGTCACCATTTTGTCAACCCTGCGTTCCTCTAAGCAAGACTCTGGCTACCCCTTGCCTACACACAAAAGCAGATCAAGTTATCTACGTTGAATGACGGGCAATTAAATGTCCGTTGGGCCAATTCGTACCTAAAGTAGGCAGCTTACTGGCGGCATTTTCTGGTGTAGTGTGATGCAAGGGAGGATAACTCGGAAAAAAGGTACTTTTGCAGGTGTCCGACGCATGTTTTACATCCCATTTAGTAGCAATGCTGACCCAGAAATGTGCAACAAAGCAGCCATACCATCAGTTCACGGTCAGTCATTCGGAGACAGCCCGGCCGGGACAGTGGCCACCGACGTCGGACGGAACAGGGCTCAGACAAGGAATATATGACAGAAGGGCCTTCATTCTGTGGCTTGGTTTTCAGAGAAGAATCTTCAGTGCGATGGCTTTTGTCACATGGTTTTTGGCAGTTTCAAACTTCCGAAATTGTTTCCGCCTAAAATGCCACGACAAGTCTCATTTCTTGAAATGCAGCCAGCGAAATGAAGGCGCATGCAAAATCTGTTGCACTGTGAGCTATTGATTCACTTTCAAGATTTTCACCAGCCTATGCTTACGCCATATTTTGGCATCTACCCTGTGGAGAAAGATGCCTCCTCAATGTCCCAAAATGCACACCCGCTCGTGAAATTTCGGCTCCCCAGGAAAGACAACGTTGAAATGGACGAATAACCTCGGGAAGCTGGATGGCCTTATTTCCCGAATGACATAGATGATTCACATAGGCAAGAGTGTGCACGATTGAGAAATAGCTCTAGATGCTTGCGTAAAATAGCAGTCATTACATTTAAATAAACAGCGATAACCACCACCTCTACCCTCCCCCCGCGGTCATCGGGTTTGTTTTCCAGAAAAAGTTCCTGATGTACGCCCTGAGCTCGCCCCCCCCCCACACACACTTTTTGAAACGTTCCTACGCCTATGCTCAGGGCCAGTAGCTCAGTGTGCCTCTTGGGCACAGGAGGCCGCTAGGTCCCAAAGGGCCCTTCTGGCCCCTATGCACAGACTATCAGAGCCAGAGATCGCATTAGCGGCTCCGGCCGCCGCGCAGCCCTAACGTGGCCTCATGGTCCACAGATGGCCTCTTGCATTGGTCGGGGGCTGGGCCCCAACGAGCCGTGCCCAGAATAATAGTGTCCTTGATAGTCAGCCCCGGTGGGCCCTCCAGGCCTCCCTGAACTTAAGGGCGGGAGGCTCGTGCACCCAGTACCCTCCCATCTGCCTGCGCCGCTGGTGCTTAAGTTGGTGCCATTTAACATCCCATGGTATGCAACACAGAGAAATTATGGAAAATGCATAATTGCCAAACGTTAATGGCCGTTCTTCCCCAAATACAAACTGCCAACCAGGAGCCAGGGCATCAGCAGTTCTTGCGCGCGCAGCAGATGAGAGGGGCGGCCTCCCTCCCGCTCCAACTTCGGACACGTTCAACATAAACTCTATGACAATGCATGGAAAGGAACGAAGCATAATTACGCCTGACCCTCCGGCCCTCCCCGCCCGCTCCACAAATTTACACCACTTTTGCTTCTTTCCGAGACAAATGTAGTTCTATACCTACAACACGCTGCATAATACAAAACAGCGTTCGCCACCATGAAATGATTGACGATTCTTAATGGCATTGCCTTGGATGTCTTCAATTACAAATAGAAGGTGAACCCATTATCCAGCTCCCAAACGTCCTTGCGTTTGCCTCAAGGCCATGTAATAGTTTGCCTTGGCGTCACCCCGTCGTCCATGGTAACCGATGGAATTGCCGGCAAGAACCACTTTAAAGTGCTGCAATCTCTCTTGGCGGTTCGTTAATTTGCTACTAGGCCCAGTATGAAAAAAGATGGGTCTTACAGCAAAACAAAGCGCTGAAGTTGAGAATTGCAGGCTTAAGGTGCATATAACAGCACAAAAAGTTTAGTTTCCATTGAAGGGAGTGTTTTAAAGGAACATGAAGTTGTACCTCTGAAGAACGCAGGGCGCAATATGTTGACGTCACGCCAATCGACCGAATCGTGCAAACACGTGTAGAGGGATGGGGTGACGACGGCGTGGCTTGCACGGTTACGATTGGGGCGCTGGTATGATTCGCATGTTTTTTGCATCATATTTGATATTGTTGCATCACATATCGTTCACAGAAAATTACATATTCCTCAGGCTCCAATGAAAATTTGTGCTGTGTACATATTCTGTATATTGTCAACTCGCAGAAAGAACTTCTGCTAGCCTGTTTAGTGTTAAGAGCAAGTTGGATTCAGTTCCAGTAGAAAAACATTAAAATGCAAAGGTTCCAGGCTGCTCTTCTCCGGGTTGACCACCCATTTGTCTTTTTCTCTATGGAGCTCTTACAATCATTGGAGGTGTTTGTGCTGTTTGTCATGCTTGTCCAATGTGGCCTTTGCAGAAGCGAAGTTGTGCATATGTGCACTGGTTCTTGATGTTACTCTCCCTTTCAGTGATCTTCATCTGCTGGTCAGAGGCTTCAGAGATTGCAGTGGTGTAATAAAGCATGGCTGTCCAATATAACATCCCATGGCACATGCTAAAGGGGCTTGACCCTGGCAACTCAGAAATATGCACTTTGAAAGGTTCTGTCACTACAGGATTGGAACCGAGTGCTAGGGATGAAATTGCAGCCAAGCTAAAGAGTGTTGCATTTTGTGCTCGTGGCAGAGTCTTCTTTGATGTCAAGAAGGACCAACTATCAGCGGTAAGGCACATGGAACCAAATTCTTATGTGAGACTACCTGTATTCCTTAATCATAGTATTGCACCATCTGTAAAGCATATGCCACATTTATGGTGAATTCTTCCTCCCTGCTCCCTTTTGTGACACTTTGTAATGGTCTAGCATTGAGCCCTCCTAAAAACTGCATAATGCCAAGCCATACCTCACCTTCCTCCAGCACACAATGGTTTCCAGGGACAGCAGAAATAGGTGGAAACTGCAGCAAGTGTGCACCAATATGGTTTTTGACACTTAGCATTATGGCAAGCATTGCATGGAGTGAATCAATCTTAGACAGCACCTTTCTTTGCCCTTCTGACAAAACCAACATTGGTGTTTTTTACTTGCTGCAGGGAACTGCAAGTTAAAGATCAGACATGTTTTGAACTTAAGTATACATCTTTCCCATTTTTGTAATTATCAGCCTTCCCTTAGCATGGCAGTGACACATGCATACAAAGTGTGCTTCTTGTGAAGCAGCTGCAGGTGATAAGAAAACTATGATTTCTAGGCATCCTCCTTATCAGTGATGAAGATTTGGCAAGCTGCTGTGAAATGGCTTGGGTCAGTTTTCAAATATTACACACCAAAGCCAGGATGCACTGATACAGACTATTAACATGTGCTGGTGGTGCATTGTCAGCATTTGTTTTTATTCATTCTTTTAATTTCTGCTGTTACTGGCATCCAAAATTGTCACATAGCACTTGCTGAAAGCCCTCCCATGATGTTTTGTCACAAGCATGCTGACTCAGCTTCCCTTCTTTTGTATCATGATTCTGGTACCACCCATATGTTCTTATGTGTCTCACTTTCTGACTTAGAGAGCAGCAGTCATTGATGTGTTTGGTCTTGTTTTTCACCATTCACAGAGGTACTGCCACTCAGGTTGTCTCCAGAGATAGCAATATCAATATCAATCAATCAAGTCTATCAATAGGATTGCTTTATGAATGCAGTTATTTGCAAGTAGTCCATATGTTGCTGTCATTTAGCAGTGGCACATGCCTATTAGCTACTTAACGCTCATTTCAGGCATTAAAGCTGAGATCTTTGGACCACATCAATGTTCTGGTTGCTGTTCAACCACAGTTTGGATTCACCAAGAATAAGGTAAGAACATGTAATGGAAGGTGATCTAAATAAGGTTATTTCATATCACCATCGTCATCGCCATTTTTCCGCCCACAGCTGTCATCTTTGCTTTTAACCCACTTGGCCCATATTGACAAATATGCCTACCTAATGCCTCTGAAGTCTGGTGGCACTTGGTGTGATCATTCTTGCCACCCCTAACATAATAAGTGGTGCTTTTCTAAAAGGTCTGTTTGCTTATTTTTCATATTGATGTTTAACGCAGTGCAGGCACTACACTGATCACTGGAAGCTCGTGTTTCACGTGATGTTGAGAAAAATGTTATTATTATGAACTGGATTTGCTCAGTCTGGTCGAATAGCGGCCGTAACATACCAGCTCCGCGTGGCCGCAGCGAGCCTGCCGGCGGAGGCCGCTCAGGCGCGGGCAGCCTCTGAGTGTATTGGTCTGGCCACCTCCCTGCAGGTGGTCTGCCTGAAGAAGCTGCGCCTGCTGCCGCGCACGCTCGACTGGACCAAGGCGCTGACGGTGTGGCAGAGCTGCGGTGGATTCGCCGGCGACCCGTTCACGCGGCGGCCTGACCAGCAGCTGGAGGTGATCGAGCTGGCGGCCGAGCCGGCCAGCGCCGCCGGTGACGGCCGCGCCTCCGCCCGCGACCTGCTCGACGGCATGCGCGCGCCCGTCGTCGCCACCAAGGTGACGGAGGGCGGGGAGGCGGTGGAAGGCGACCCGGGGCGTGGGGCCGCCGGAGGAGACGCGGCGATGGAACCGGAGTCAAAGCACGCAGAGGTGGAGGGAGGTGGCAGTGCAGGGGCGGCGGGCGGAGAGATAGTGGAGGTAGCTGTTGAGGCCAATGAAGCCGCGTCCAGTGACGCTGGCGCCGCGGCGGCGGAAGCTGTGGAGGGCGCCACTGAAGCGCCGGAGATGGAGCCCGCGGGCAAGGGCGACGCGGTCAGAGAAACGGCCTCAGACGCTGCTGAGAAGCCTGCCTCCGTCGAGGCGCAAGGCGTGGCTGAGGAGAAGATACAGAGGACGGTGCCGGGCGAAGCACAGAACATGCAAGAAGCGGTGCAGCATGTGACGCCCGACAAGACTCTGGACCCGCCCGCCGAGAGTACCGAAGACCCGGCCACCAACCCCGTCCCCGACGCTACGCCTGACGCGGCGCCTGCCACCGCTCCTGGCTCAGCTCAGGAGCCGTCAGTGTCGGCGGCCGGGGCCGCCCAGGAGCCTGCGGCAGAGCAAGCGACCGGCGCCGTCACCGTGCCCGCCTTCCGTGCCACCTGCTTCCGAGCTGGCGGCGGGAAGCAGGGACACGCCTTCTCCTCCAACGAGGGCGCCGAGAACTTCGGCGGCGCCGTCCAGGACCTGTTCGGCTGGAAGGTCAGCATGAAGGGCTACGACTTGGAGGTTGTCCTGGACGTGGAGTTTGGTGAGTTCAATTGGCATTTTCAGCTGTAGGGAATTGTGCGAGGCCCGCGTGTGATGAGATATGCTGGCACGTTAGTCGTGTTTGTGATATCCGGAGGGCTTAGGGTAAGCCGTGTCGGAAGTTAAACAGGTTTCTGTGGAATCATGTTTTAGCCGCGCATGCACGATGCGTTTTGTGATTGGTTTCACATACGTCGGCTGACGTACACATTTGCTGGCCGCATGTGACCAGGTGTTTTTGCGTATGTTTTTCTTCATCGGTTTGTACTTTTCCCTTTTCAAATTGGTTTGATGTGCTACCCACACACTCTGCATTATGGTCAGGGAACCATCGAGCTTCAGCGAAGCTCCCTTGTCTAGTTTTCAGCCCCGTCTGTATCGTAGCCTGCGAGGTCTCGGATTGTAGGTCACAGTTGTGGTGACATCGCACCACGGGTTCTGGACGGAAGCATCCCTTGCCGGCTGCCTGCTCTCCCTCTACGGTAACAGCCAGCTGGATCGTCGGTGCGCGCAGGGGCGCATCGCCAGCTCTACTTGACCGTATGACCTCGGCTGACCTCAGCGCGTGACCGGGCGTCCCTCCCTTCGGCAGACATGGTGAGTGTGGGCGTGTCGCTGACACCGCGCGCCCTCTTCTACCGCAACCTGGTGAAGCTGGGACCCACCTCGCTCCGCTCCACCGTCTGCTTCAACCTGCTGATGATCGCCAAGCCACAGCCGTACGAGGTGGTGGTGGACCCACTCTGCGGCGGAGGCTCCATCTCACTGGAGGTCAGTCGCTGCGGCCGAGCGCCGGGGCGCCGGAACTGTTCTGCAGGCCTGTGCGAAGGGGTGTGGGAAGGACTGCCGGTGTGTGTTTCGCATTCGTTGTTTTTTCTTCTGGCTGGCTGTGGTGAAATGCCGTTTGCAAGGTAACAGGTGCGACGCCATTTAGGTGGCGTGCTCGCGAGCCGCGGGAATTCTTCGCGGTTTTCAAACAGGGTTAGCGGTGTCACTTTGTTCGTCTAAGCTATCGATGCTGTTGGTGTGTGAGGTTGCCAGCAATACGAACTACGTGACAGGCGGTATGTGGGGCTCAAACCCATCGCTTCTCCGCACATTTTGTGATGCGACGTCCTTGAGCATCTCTCGCGGGGTGAAGGTTGGCTTTAGTTGTGGGTACTATCGGAGGCTATCGACGTTTAAGACATGCTTTTTGTTTTGCGTTGAACTGCCTGCGTAGCGTAAAACGGGACACGGCTTTGCTGTGTCTAGTCCGAATGAAACACCCACTATTGCACGTCATGCTTGCGAATAAAGCTCCCACATTGAAATCGTAACCTGAAAAAGCTGTATGATCATTTGCAGTCGATGACCCTAAAATAACCGCTCAGAAGCAGCCGTCGCGTTCCTTGAATTGACATACAGTCCGTGGAGTTATCTGTGCGCCATGTTGGGTGACCCGGTCACTCAGCGGCCTGACCGGGCGTCGCCAGGGCGCCCAGGCTTTCCCGGGCACGTTCCACATCTGCGGCGACAATTACCCGGACGCGGCCGGACGGGCGGCGCTGAACCGCGAGTTCAGCAGCCGCCAGTGCAGCGACTCGGCCCAGCTGCCGATCGACATTTTCACCTGGGACTGCACCCGGCTGCCGCTGCGCAACGCCTGCGCTGACGTCATCGTCTCGGACATGGTCAGTGGGGTTATGGGCGGCTACTGCGTGCCGCTGAGCTGGCCGGCGCCGGGCACAGCTGACGGACTCAGCTGGCGTGTTCTTCTGACTGAATGCCAACTGCTGGCGCAGTGGGAATCTAGTTGTAGCTTCGGGAATCTAGTTGTAGCGGAGCGTTCGATATGTTACGCAGCGTCTATGGAGCGTCAGGAAGATCACCATAACGCCGGTGACGCCGGTGTAGTCCACCGGTCAGTTTGGACGGGCCATGGAACGTTTCCTGGTTTTTTGGTGGGCTGTGCCCTGCTGTAGGGTTTGAAATAGTCATCTGGTCTTGGTAGATCACGCTCCAGTATTGTGTTAGAGGCGGAGCGGTGTGAACTGTGTGGAGGAGATAGTATTCAGAGACATATTTGCGGGTTATGTCTGATGTTTGAAGATCTTCGAAGGCTGTTGATGTTGGATAGCACGGCAGCGCCGCGTGCCATTAATGACGTGATGAATACCGCCAGCCGTTTGGGAAACGGATGGGTTCGAAGTACGACAACCGGACGCTGTACCCCAACTGTATGGAGGAGATGGCGCGCATCTGCGTGCCGCGCTACGGCCGGGCCGTGCTGCTGACGCAGGACAAGAACACCATGCAGAAGGTGCACCACATTTTTGGCTGCGGCGGTTGACGTCATTGTAATCGACGTAGCGATGAGTGGCCTACAAATATTGAAGTTCGAACGGCTGAGTTCGTGGCGCGCACTGACGTCATATTTAACAGAGTGCCCATTGTTGCGTTCAAAAATATATTGGCCGTAACCCGACGTAATTGTGCGAACATTCAACATCACTCGGCTCAATTCGCTGTTCCTGTGAACGTTTCCGTTGCTTTTGTTTGCCCTCGACTCTGTACGTCCCACGCGCTTGCCACGTGTCGTTAGTTTCATACGAAGCTTGTTAGGTGCCGCATTCATTGTGCACTCGGAACCCAGGGCTGCGAACTGAAGGTTGGTGTAGCCGGACATGACCCTGCTCCGTCCGGCAGACGCTGTACCACCAGCGCATCAAGCAGTTGTGGCGATGCCGAGCCTCGCCGTACGTCAACATCGGCGGCCTGGCCGGCTACGCCTACCTCCTGCAGCGCACAGACTACGTGCGTCGCCCGCCGCCGACCCGGGGGCCGTGGAGGGCGCCCGGGCCGGGCGGGCCCGGCGCCGCGGCCCGGCCGCCAGCGGGCGCCGACGAGACGGTGGCGGCTCTGGCGCGCCCCGGCGCCGAGGCCGAAGACGGGGCTGCAGCTTCAGGCGCTGCGGCTGGAGAGGCGGGGTCGGCCGACACCGCGGTCAAAGTCGTGGCAGCGGACTGACGGCGACAAAGTCGCAGTTCTCGTCCGAAGCAGGTCCTGACGTCACGGACTCGGCCGGAGCGGCCTCTGACGTCCCGGTGTTGGGCGGGGCGGCCCACGACTCCGTGAGCCCGGTGCCCGCCGCCGCCACTGACTCTCCTGACGCCGCCCCAGTGTCTGCTACAGGCCGCGGGCCCGGAGGCGTCCGGCCGGGAGTAGGGCCAGCCGCGCAGACTGGCTGGACCGGGTTAGCAGGGATCTGACCAAGCTGAGCCACCGCGGTGGTGGTGCGCATGATTGGTGTCGTGGGTTCGTTCGCCTATTGTGATAGCCGAGAGCTGCTTTTTGTATCGTTTTCAGTCAAGCTTGTTCTGTTCTGTTCTGTAGGGGTTCCAGTGGTGTGTTTGGTGGTTCGCTGCGTTGTTTGTACCTACTGTCCGCGAAGTCGTAAAACTGGAACATTTTATTCAAATTCGAACAATGATTAACTTTACGATACACCGATCTCCAAGAACACCATAAAGCGTTTGATGCGGATATAGTCCTTCCGTTAGCTGTTTAGACGTATCTACATATACAATGAAAACACGGTCAGACGATAATTATCACAAGAAACGTCGAACAGACACAAAGAGGTGCAATTTAGCTTGAGCTCCGGCAATATCGCAGAGAAATACAAAACATACCACTGTAACGCCCGCTCCAGCGTAATAAAGGCCTTTGTACAGACCTACGTTTCACTTCGTCGGCGCTGAAAGGCGAGCGACGCCGCCTAAAGAGAAGCGCCTTCTCTGCCGCGGCTAACCGGTGCGCTCCAGCGTCGCGGCCGCGAGATGGCCGCGTTTTCCGCGCCACGTGGCGTCGGCAGCAGGCGCGTCTGCCCGGCCCGGTGCCGGTGGTCGACGCGCAGCCGTCCGCCGCCCCCGCCACGAGCGCAGTGACTAGAGCGAGCACGAACGGCGGTCAAGTACAAAAGTAACGCGCTAGTTAGTCGATTACGCGGTCGGGGCGCGCCGGCCGGAACACGCTACACGAACTGCTCCTGCCTCTCGGAGGCACCCGCGTCGTCCGAATGAGATGCTTCCACGCACGCGGGCCGCCGCTCGCCGGCACTGTCCGGGTGCGCGGTCGGCGGCTGCGGCTCGGCGTCCGGCCGCGCCGCTCCGGACGGGACCGAAGTCGCGCCGGGGGCGTCCGTCTCCCGCGGCGCAGGCACTGTCTGAGCCGGCGGCGCCGCGGATGCGCCCAGCGGGTCCGGCACCGGCGCCGCCCGCTGCCCAGCGTCCTGCACCGCCGCCTGCGCGGACTGCGGCGCCGCGCCCGACGGTGGCACCGCCTGCCGGTCCATCGGTGGCGTCATCTGCGGATCCGACGGCGGCGCAGCCTGCCGCGAGGCCTGGTCGCCGGAGCCGGCGGGGGTCTGGCTGGCTGTACGGCTGGGGCGAACCCCGCAGCTGGGATGCTTCACGCGCGCACTTACGCCCGCGAGGTAGGGAGACACGTACTCGCCTGAAATACGGCACACCGTCAGGAACCGGCGGGTTAACCGACGGTTGATACCGCAGACACCGCGACATGGTGACCACCAGGTCCTCCAGCTGGCCGGCAGGTGCCGTATCGTGGTGCAATGTCATGCTCAGATACACTTCTCACCCGCCGACGGCCACACAGTACGTGAGTTAGTGCTGCACTGCCCCGGCGTACCGTCGTTGATGTCAGCCTCCGCTGTCGGTCCTCCCGTCCTCCGGCCTCCCCCGACCGCCGCCGTCGTTCCATGCCACCTCCAGCTGGGCCCGGTTAGTCGCTGCCACCGCCGCCGTGCCGCGCGTGCAGTTAGTGCCTGCCGCCACCTCGCATGCGTGCCGCTGCGCCGCCGGTGCGTCGCCGGCGCGCCGCTAGCGGTGCAGCCATTGTCACCTACCGGCCAGTTTGGGCGCGGGCGCGGCCGGCGCGGCCGGCTCGTCGGGCGGCGCGTCCAGACTGCTGACGCGCTCGGTGCGCACCAGCTCGCCCGAGCTGCGGCCCCAGCAGCCGGTGCGGCCGCGGCCGGCTCGGCTCGCGCTCCGGCAGCGACTGGGCCGACGGCGGCGGCCGGCGCCGCGCCGACGCCGCCGGTGCCGCGGCGCCCGACTCGCCGCCCATGTACACGCCGCCGTCCACCGGCGACAGGGAGCCGGCGCTGTTGTCCGAGATGGACTTGCGCAGCTTGGGGTGTGCCGAGCCCATGTCTGGTGGTGCCAGCAGGCTCGGCGAGCTCTGGCTCTGGAACTGCAGCGGGGGACGGTCAGCACAGTGCCCGCGCATGACCTTGCCGACCAGGGCGAAGTGTGGACGATACCAAGAACGTTAAGCAGTATTTGCTACTTTGATCGAATGATCGATTGATTTGATCCCACCACGATCTCAGCACACGCCGAGAATTGAAACGCATTTCAGGAGACGTTCCGTTTTTGACACTAAGTAGCAAGGTCGATGATTTAACGACAGGCAATGCTCAGTTCTGGCATTAGTCTTGCGGTGTTCACTCCATAACAGAAAGTTTGTTCGTAGCACATGAGCATCGTTGGTTTGTTGGGATAACCGCTCTCACGAAGACTTATTTTGTGAAATGTTCTGAGACGTTCAAATTTCCCCGTAAATAATAAAAAGCGTTGATGCAACCTAATATATCTTCCTCAAGTCACTTCACACACTTCATTCTCCCCACAACCCCGCTGTGTTTGACATCTATGTGCGTACCGACTCGAGGCCGATGTAGCTCTTGAGGCAGACCTTGACGATGGGCGGCTTCTCGTCGGCGGTGCCGGCCGCCTCGAGCTCGTCGCTCTCCTGCGAGGTGAGCCGCCCGTCGGCAGCGCTCTTCTCGATGCTGGACGACACGGACGACACGCTGGCGCACTCGAGGCCCATGTAGTCGCGCAGCGAGCCTCGGTAGATGAGGCTGCGCGGCCTGCCGCCGCCGCTGCCGCCGCCGCCCGCCGGCCCCGACGGCAGGCTCACCGTTCGGGCTCGTCTCTCCCGCTGCCTGAGCCAGTAGCTCTTCTGTAACACCGCGGGAATGGCGGCGATGACAATGATGCACGGCTCAGGAGTGCAGCTGTATCCCGGCCTGTTGCAATGTAGGCTGTATGACAGCGCAGGCGTAGCGCCGGACAGACAAGCACAATTTCCGTAGCTTATCTGCGGCGGCACTATGCACTGTGTCAGGAGCACAGCGGAGGAGCATGCAATGATCGGATGAAAATTCAGGGGGCTTGAACATAGTAAAACTCAAGGGGAGCGGAAAGCCGCATCATTTTGGTCTTAGGCTCGTGGTGGAAGGTCTACCGACTGTTTACTAAGTGATCGGTTTTCGCTCAGGGTCCAACCGACGCTGCCGAGAGGGGGGGGGGGGGGGGGGAGTTCTGATATCAGCAGGCGTTAACCAGCGTCCCTGACGGCAATACTCACTAAACAACGAAATGCGTGACCAAAAAATTAGCGAGTTAAAGCAGCCCGATACCTGAAAAGTCCAACCTTAATTCGGCGGCATCTGAAACACCGCAGGATCGCAGCTGGAGCTGTTGTGTCGGCGGTAGTGCCGCAGCATAATATGATGCTTCGCCTATTGCTAAATAGCATAGACTTTCTCCCACACAGAAGACCAGCCCTTGACAACCAGCACAGCCTCAGCATAGCAGCATTTGCAGCAGCATTTGCCAGTCTTAGCACAGCATGGCATAGTTGTGGTGGTGACCCCATAGTGGTCTATTTCAACACGGTCCTGAGGTCACTGGTCCCTCCGGGCTTACGCCACACTTCGTGGTCGGGCAACGGCTTTGACCTTTTGACGCCAGTTCCTTGTGTGCTGTATGCAGGCCTCACCTCAGAGCATCAACACTCGGAGGCGTCCCCCAACACTGACCTCCGAGTACTACCGCATTACTGACAGGTGAACGGAACGCCACAGCGGGGAGCGTGGTGACCTTAGCCGTGACCTTCAGCACGGTGCCGGCGGCGGGTACCGCCGCCGGGCCGCGCGACCAAACATCGCCCAGTGTCTCCAGACAATCCGGCGGCCCGACGGCGTCGTGATTCGGTTTAGAGCAGGCCCAGTCTCCGGATTACGAACGCCCCTGGGGCGCCAGCAGACCGTCACGCTCGTGCAGTCACGGCCGGCAGGCTCCAGCGGCGGCGAGCGCCGGGCACGTGCTGGCGCTCATGTCACCGACGGCGCTGCTGACTCACTGAACGAAATCGCCACCGGTGGTGATCACATGACCGATGAGTCGACAGACCTGCTGGCCGACAACCGCCAACAGCCGCCAAACATGACATTAGCAGTGTAGCTCAGCCCCGGCCGCGCTGGTACCTTGGCGATATTCTCTGAAGGGCGGAACATCGGTGCGGTGAGGAATCTACGCCAGCCCGCGCCTAGATACACGGGAGGAGGGCCGCTGATGGGAGGACTGCGTGATCCGCCTACAAGCATCTCAACGACGCCTGGTAAAAACGCGGCCCGTGCCTCCATAGGCGCTCCGCTCGCCTCTTTCCGACCCAACCACCCAGCCCGCCTCCAGGAACAGCCATGCGGCTGGGCGGGGGAGAGCTCACCTGGCAGAGGAGGCGCCTCCTCGCGGCTTGCGCCGGTCCTGGAGGGGCTGGTCGAGCGGCGTGTCGATGTGCGGTACTGGTGGCGGAAAGTCGGCCCGTCACCAGCTCCACCGGCCGAAGATGTCGTGCACGTGGCTCACCAGCAGCTCAATCACGCGCGTCTGGTGCACCTGTAGCCAGCACCACGCGCGTCGCAACAGTGCGCCGACAGTGCTGGGAGAATTTCCCCGGCGGTGTCGCCTGAATTATCAGCGACAGCGTACCCACATCGCCATCATTAGCGGCACCAACGTTCAACGGTGCTGTGCCATTAGCAGCAGCATATTTCATCCAGTTTAGGTTTAGGGCTATAAGCATGACGGCAGCAGCTCCATGGAGTCATCACTAACGAAGTCATAAATCATAAAGCGTTATTGGCAGCATAGAAGCGTGGGGCATCAATAATACGACAGCGGCGCGTTAGCAGCGCCCAGGTGCGGCGGACTATGTGGCCCAACCAAGGGCAGATGAGAAAACTGCTTCCCTGTTTCTGAAAACTGAAAGCTGTTTCCCCTTCAGGCGCTTGAGGGGTTTCCATTTCAAGGTAGGAAGGGTCTGAAAACCGGTTGATGGTAGCTTAAGTGAGATGGGAAAGCAAATGAGTAAACGCGAATAACCTCGTGAGTTTTCCGAATTTCGGAACAATGGAGTTCGAATTTGTTGCTCCATTTTTTTTTTTAGCTGAGCACCAATTGAGCTGAGCGTCACCGACTCGTGTTCACCAGCCAGCTGAGCGCCACTGACCGTGTCCACCAGCGAGCTGAGCGAGGCGCTGCCCTCGGACGTGCGTAGCAGGGTCGGGCCGAACACGATGCCCAGGTTGGAGGGCGGCATGTTGTTGTGCGCCGCGCCCCGGCTGACCCGGTGCAGGTGGTGCATGAGAAAGGCCAGCGTCACGAAGTGCGGCCGCGGCAGGCGCTTCGACAGCGCCTGCAACTGACGGATCGCCGTCGCCAGGTCCACCTCGTTGGAGGGGTGCTCCTTGGCGATCCTGCCGGCACGGGACGCACCGTCAGCCGCCGCTCGACGCGGCCCAGGCAGGGGCTGAAACATGTATCCGTGTCGGGGGAGGGGGCTCCCACGTATATATATATATATATATATATATATATATATATATATATATATGCATACAAATATACTGTCTGCGAGAACGTCAGCCAAACCCGTTGCACAGTCCGGACACTGCTCCCTCACAACTAACAAAGGCTACCAGTATATATACCTTATACATATATATATATATATATATATAATATATATATATATATATATATATATGTGTGTGTGTGTGTGTGTGTGTGTGTGTGTGTGTGTGTGTGTGTGTGTGTGTCATATGGCTCAAATAACAAGGCAACGAGCCAGAACTGAATCGGATCTTTGATTTTGCAAGCCATGTGAGTCATGAGCCAAATGATTCCACGCAAGCGATGCGTATGAACTGATCTGAAGCAAAAAATTGGAACGGCTATGAGTTATGAGCTGAAACGGACCTCATTTGTGAACCGGTCCTGAGCAGGCTCAACTTTTTTTAAGTCGAACACAAGTCTGATCCTTATACATTCATTGTTTCAATAGGGAAATGCTCACCGACGATAATCGTTTTGAGGAGTCGCAGCATCTTCAGCGCGCTAGTTTTAACCAATTCTGATCAAACCGCAATGCATTGATGCGTCTAGTTAACAACACTAGCGACATGCCCCACCTCTAAACGGCGGCTACTGGCGTAGTACCTCCACCATCCCCTTTAACAACGGCCCCAGTCCCACCGAACCCCCTTTAACAACGGCCCCAGTCCCACTGAACCCCCTTAACAACGGTCCCAGTCCCACTGAACTCGGACCAGCTTGGCTTTTGAGAGGCTGCCAAGTGGTCGAAGCCCCCTCCCCGTCTCTGAGTGGCCTGGAGTCCATTAGTGGACGTTGCTCGCGCGGCCGCCAGCGGCAGCCACCGGCAGCCGTCGTCGGCCAGCCAGGAAACGGGCGTCCCCGGGGGCTCCATTGTCACGAGGCGCCCCCCAGACGACTTCCGTGATGTTGGCAATCCGGCCGACCCTGATTGGACGCCGACTGCCAGAAGCTGAATATACATATATTAATTTTTAAAGCTTGCAAGCGTAGTTAACACCGCTGGTGAATATACCAAAT